CGATTCCAAACGCAAGTCCCTGATTGGGACTAATTTGGTCCCAGTCGGGGAACACTTTTTGGTCCAACTTTCTCCGAATTGAAATCCGATTGCACCGTTGCGATCAGACAGTTAAACTCTATCTAACGATATAATTTTTATATTTATTCGTTATACTTTTTCCGACATCATATTTTTGGGTGGTTGACTTTGACAGAGTCAAAATTGGTTTAATTGACCTTTATTCAAAAAGGTTCTCACATTTAATTCATATTATTTATTTCCATGATTTATTTCAATAAATCATTTCAATGTTCACATTATAAACAATTTCTTCATTTATTCTTAATTTGGGTCTGTACTCAGGTTCCCAATCAAGATCACACAATAAATCAACATGTTGGATTTATCTCTATGAGATTTATCCCAATTATGTTTATTGGATATCAATATATATTTTATTTCAACCCAAAGCCCAACAACAATTTATTTTAATCAAAACAAATTTTGTTTAATTGAATATTTAATTCAATAAATTTTAGGGTATATTTTGGTGCGTTACAGATGAAGACTCTCCTATTGTTCCTGTCTGGATATCACTTCCTCATCTCCCTATTTATCTCCATGACCAGACGGCTCTATTCGCTATCACATCTCCACTTGGGACGCCTCTTAAGGTGGATAGCGCGACTCTTGCTTTCTCAAGAGCGTTTGCGAGATGATTTCATGCAATTCTGTAGGGAGTATTGGGAAGAAATTCCTTTTCATGGAGGTATGCTTAGCCTCTTTAATAGATTACATCATCTTAAAGGAAAGCTGTCCTCTTGGAATAAGGAACATTTTGGTAACCTTTTTGATATGATGAAAGAAGGTGAAGATGCTGCAGCTAGGGCTGAGTTGCTTTATGAGGCTGATCCTTCTCCAGAGAATAGAGCCCTTTGCAATCTTAAGCAAGCTGAACTGGATGTTATTTCCAAAAGGAAATATGCCTTTTGGAGGCAGAAATGTAATGTTAAATGGCTTCAGGATGGTGATGCCAACACTAAATTTTTTCATAACCTTGTGAAGGAGAAGAGAAGAAAGCAAAGGATCTCCACTCTGACTAATGACCAAGGCCAAACTATTGAAGACACTGCCTCTCTTGAGGCCATGGTGGTGGAGCACTATAAGAATCTTTTTAATTCTCATGAACCCATGCCCTCCCATGAAGTCTGTGAGAATTTCCTGAATGCCATCCCTCCTCTTCTTTATTCTGAACATAATGATTTATTGATGAGACTTTCTGAAAAAGAAGAGATAAGGGACACTACAAGAAAAAAACCTTTTAGCCGCACTTAATTCGCCGCACATGATCAAGTGTGGGGATAAAATTTACCACTTTATCATTCCCTGCACTTAAAAGAGGGGTAAAAGATGATTTTACTTACCCACATAAAAAAAGTGTGCCAACTCTCTTAAATACACTTAATTACTTATAAAATTATAAAATAAATATACATCATTATTGATTTTTTTCCTGTAACATAGAAATTGAAACACTGAAATATATTAGAGCCCGCTACTTTTTCAATTCAGCGCCTAAATTCATCCGCTAATCCTTTTTCACTGTATTCCAGCGCCTAAATTAATTAACCTAACTCTCATCACCTACGAATCGTATGACCTAATTCTCCTAATTGATCACCGGATTGAGTGAATTCAGATTGATTCCTTCGATCGTTCAGCTCTCTGTCCTGCGACCAGATTCTTTCGTTCAACAGCATCTTCAATCGTGCGTCTTCAATCGATCGTTCAACTCTCTGTTGTGCGTCCAGATTGTTTCGTTCAACAGCGTCTTCAATCGTGCGGCCAGATTGTTTCGTTCAACAGCATCTTCAATTCTCAATCGTGCGGCCAGATTCAACCGTTCATATCAGCATCCTTCCTCTTCACAATTGTTCCGCCCCTTCTTCCATTCAGGTATTATACCACTTAAAGTTTTCAGTTTCCCTGCAATTATTTTTTGCATATAAGAGTGGGTTCATTACATGGTAGGCTTGGTAGCTCCAATCTGTAATTTGTATAGGAATAAAATAATACCGGAGCTAATTGCTTAGACCTAAGTTGCAGTGGGATGGGAAAGGACATTTTTAAGAATGTCCCTAACTGGAAAAGGCATTTATACAAAGATGGAGTTCTATAGCCTCACCATATATCACAATGCACTAAATCAAAACAACTTTCTGTTTTTGTGATACTAACTGGAAAGTCTGAGACATGAACTCTGTGTTCCATTTGTTTTATTTTTGCTTCCTTTTGAAGCTCTATTTGTGTTCCTCTAATCTCCCTCCACCTTTTGCTTTAATTTTGCCATGGTTCCCTAGTTCCAAGTAGGGGTAAGGTCTCCTAAACACACCCTCTCGCGACCCTACTTTTTGGGGAGTTTTACCGGGTTTATTGTTGTTTTCTTTGTAGGGGTAAGGTCTCCTAAACACACCCTAACAAATATTCATTGTATATAACCCATTTTGGCTTATGGTCCAGGCAGTTTGAAGGGTGTAGGTGAACCTCTTGATTGTCCTTCACTGTCAAATTTGTGATATCGTAATAATGCGGTGCAATGTCAATCAACTATTCTCCTCTGATATCAGTCACGGTGCGTACGAATTTCCTGCTCATTAACACATATTCATTGTATATAACCCTTTCTGGCTTATGGTCCAGGCAGTTTGAAGGATGTAGGTGAACCTCTTGATTGTCCTTCGCTGTCAAATAGTGACCAGTGCGTTCCATATGTGCCACCTGCATGAAATAGCCTGCCAACATGGCCTTTCTTATGTTGATGTAGTAGTCACGGCTGTTGGAGTCGGTGCTACATAGCTTGAGGTTGAATCTAGCCATAATGCGTGCTAGTTGCTGCCTTACATTGTCTGCAGACTTGAGAGCCCTGTGATTGATGAAATTCTCATAGCACCACTGTGGATCCTCCTGATTTTGCTTGTAGGCATGGTATACATTCAGCAGCGTGAGGTGATCTCCATCAATGTGACTAAAACGACCCTTCGCTTCGTACGCAGCGTGAGGTGATCCCCATCAAACAAAGAGGGATCATGTGAGTTTATGCTTTTCCTACCAATGTTAATTTCTTTTTAAAATATCAATCACCATTTTATTCCTAAATTATACCAGATATATATGATTTTATGAAGCTTATATTTGTTATTTATTTTCAGAGTAATTTCACTATGATTGTGAACAAGTTAGGAGAAGGTGGATATAGGGCATGTACTCCCATGCATGATAATGCATGTAATGAGCAGAGGGCTATTGAAAAACAGAAAATGCTTATACAAAGAAATAGAAATCCTGTGAGTTTAATTCTCTAAGTTATATCAATCTTTTCTCTTTAAACTATGAATCACATTCCGTACCCTAAATTATATCACATGTGATATTGTAAAATATATTTGTGTTATTTGATATCAGAGTATTTTTGATGGAACGACCAAGGAAGACGGTGATTATGGTACTTGTAATCCAATGCCTCCTAATGCATCTACTTAGGAAAGAGCTACAGAAAAACAAAAAATTTCCATGAAAAAAACATACTTCATGTGAGTTGAATTTATCTACTAAAATTTGGATGTTGGTTAATTAGGTCCAGGTGGCTATTCTTGATTCTAGTGTATCACTCTATCGTGAATCGAATCTGTGTTGTCTTATATATGTCACTAAGCTAAGGCCTATGCATGTTGTCAAAGTGGTTTACTGTCAATGGCATGGAGAATGGTAGGCTTACTGTCAAAGTGGTTTACTGTCAATGTTGTCAAAGTGGTTTACTGTCAAAGTGGTTTGCATGTTGTCAAACTTTTATATCATAAAAAGAATGATTGGGAGAATGATATCCATTCTTCGGGTCCAGGAATTTAGTCAAAACTGAGAGCCATTTCCCTTAATTACTGTCTCTTACTGTCTGATGCTTAATCTTACCCTTTCTTGATGATGCTTAATTACTGTCTTACCTTTTCTAGTGTCTTTTTTGAAATAATTGTGTAATTACTGCCTCTTTTTCATAGCTTTATGAAGAATATATTGACTTAATTAAAGCTAAGGCTGTTGGAGTCATGAAATCCATTCTCTTGAACATAGGGGTGGGTCTGGAAAACCAAAAACCGAAAACCGAACCGAAATCAATCGAACAATACCAAAAACAAAACCGCACCGCAAAAACCGAAACCGAACTCAAAAAACCGAACTGAACCGAACCGATTGCATTCGGTTTCGGTTGCGGTTTTGGCTATTTAAAACCGAACCGAATTGCTAAAAACCGAATATACTTAGTTTTAGGATTTTAGGTTTACGGCTTTGCAATTACGCGTTAGTGGGTAGTTTCGCACATCCTCAATCGCAGATTCGCAGTCCAACACTTCCAAAATCAAAGGTTCCCCGTTCGCGTTGGTCGGATACCATTGCAGATTCACCGTTCGTGTTAGTCGGATACCATCGTAGATTCGCAGCAGCCCTCAAAATCTCAAAATTGCAGATTTGCAGCAGTCCCACACTTCTGAGGAGCAGACTAAGTACGACTCCTCAATTGACACCATTGCAGAAATTCGCCAATCGCCACAACCAGTGGTCTATTCGTTTCTTCTTCAAGCGCAGAAGTTAGTGACGAGAATCTTCAATTTTTGTCCAAAATTGAAGCATCTAGCCTAAGAAGGTATGAAATCAAATGTTCTTTAATTTTTTTTATCAAATCCAGGGAATTTATCATTGAGGGTTCTTTAATTTCTTTAATCGTACAACCGGCCGGAAGCATCATACAATCATATGTTTTTAAATCAAAATCGGTTTTGTGTAATGCTAGATTAATATTTGGTGTTTTGTTCATTGAATAAAAAAACTTGATTAGTGCATTTTGACTTTGTAGGTTACAGTAGCACACTTTGTCTCAAGCTTCATTGTTTTTGGGTCTTAAGAGAAAAAGTATGGGCATCAGCATCATAAGTAGATTTAGGCCCCGTTTGGCATCAGCGTTAGAGATTAGCGTTAGCGTTTTCAAAAAGCTATCCGACGGTAGCCTTTAGCGTTAGCGTTTTTAGATTTAATCTACACCATTAAAATTTTATCCAAAACGCTAACGCTAATTGAAAACGCTATTACCAAACGAAGCCTTAACCTTGACAAGAGGCGTTCCAGCTTGAGAGTACCTGAAAGTTTAGTTTTTTACATGTTCAAACCAGAACTACCAATCAAACACCAGATTTCAGAAAAGTGGGGACAAGAATTAATAAATTACCATAACAAAAAATTAGCAAAGTCTGCATTATTTGCATCCCGCATTGCAGCAAAAAAGTCTTCACAAGTTACAGCTTGCCCATCATGCCTCTTAAAATATAAATCCATCCCCTACAATACCAAAGCAATGCTTCTGTTGGCCAAATACTGGAATGTAAATATGAGATATCCCAATATCAGGAGTTCATCATATTGTTCTTACCTTTCTAAATCCTTCACTTCCCAGCAAGGTTTAGTACATTCGAACAACTTGAGCTCCCTGATTGGTACATGTGTGTAATTAAAAGTAGACATTTTTAAATGTGCACACAGGATAAAGCACACACAAAAGCATAGGCAGGGGAAACACTTATTTTACTTTTAAATTAAATTTTTTAAAAACCGAAAGAATTGAAAAAAACCGAAATTTAAACCGCTAAAAACCGAACCGTATACCGATTGGTTTTCTCTTTTTTTTTACAAAACCGAACCGAACCGCACCGCCAAAATGCCTTCCGTTCTGTCTTTGGTTTTAGGTAAAAACCGAACCGTTAAAACCGAACCCACCCCTACTTGAACATTCATGTCATGCTCATGAATATATGCAACCATTTGAATGTCATCATTTTATTTGTTTGTAGGGCCAACTATCTCGGGTTCAAATTGAGTTATTGGTGGATACAGTGCTGAAACCTCACCCGCACGAAGTTCAAATGTATCAATCTTTTACAAAGAAAGAACTTAGTGTTGCCTACTTAGAGGGAGCCGTATGAATTAAAGTGAAAATATTATCGTTAAGTTTATTAAAATCTTAATTTTTTAAGATATAAATATTGTCATCAATGCTTGCAGGCTGCTAGTTTGTGTAAGAATAAGGCTGAAAAAAATTTGTTAAATGTTGTCCTTCGTGACAAGCGGGAGGAAACAATACATGTAAGTGACTTATATACAAATGATGAACTTGTTAATTTGTTTTTTGTTTCTTTGAGAACCAATTGTAAAATAAGGACATGTGAATATGATTTTATACTTTACTTTCGTGATATTTAGGCATCTCTTTTACATTAGTTTTTACAATATGATAGAAAATTAACGCCACAATTGGTTTGGGACCTATAGGTGCAATGCTAATCAAAGAAGGATATTAGCACGAAAAAGGGGCAATGATTGTTGTTTGAAGCTTAAAGTGAAAAAGGGCCATGATTGTTGTTTGAAGCTTAAAGTGATGGTGTCAACCTAGCTAGCTCTGCGGATCTCTATGCACACATTAATTTGATTCTTATCTTCATTTTAGATACATTTGGATATATCTATAAAATTCATGTCTTTATACACAAAATGTCTTTATTGTTAGATGTTAGTATTTGAATTGCAATATAGTTCTCATATTTGGATATTAATCAAAGGTTGCCTATATATTCAAAGAATGGTTATTATTATTATAATGATTTTGGAGTACTATATATATATATATATATATATATATATATATATATATATATATATCTTCGAAATACTGAGGATGCATTCCTGGTATACGGTGGTGAGGAAGAGCTAAAGGTAGTCGGTAACACTGATGCTAGCTTCCAAACCGACAGAGACGACTCAAAATCACAAGCAGGATATTTGTTTTGTCTGAACGGCGGAGCTTTTAGCTGGAAGAGCTTCAAGGAAGACACAACTGCCGATTCGACTACAGAGGCGGAGTACATAGCTGCCGCCGAGGCAGCTAAGGAAGCTGTTTGGATCAAGAAGTTCATTACTGAACTTTGAGTGGTTCCTAGTATTAATGACCTTATCTCGTTATTTTGCAACAACACTGGGGCCATTGCACAGGCAAATGAACCACGATCTCACCAGAAAACCAAACACATTGTACGACGCTATCACATCATACGAGAAATCGTAGATAGAGGAGATGTGATGATTTGCAAAGTAGATATTGACGACAACATAGCCGATCCCTTGACCAAGCCTTTAGGAAAGCTAAAGCATGAGGGTCACACTAGGTCCATGGGCATTCGACCGATGCCAGATTGGCCATAGTGCAAGTGGGAGATTGTTGGAGTTGTGCCCTGATGGCCAACTGTTCATCGTTATCCTATCATGTATAGGTAGATATAATATGTTTACACATCTCATGCTAATGTAAACAAATATTATATTCCTAGATTTATATTTAAAGATGTTTATCAGATAGTGTTTTTCTGCTGATGAGACTAACATCTTGAAATAAATATTTATCTAAATGTCCATAGTCGAGTATTAACGAGAGTAGGATATCGTTAATGCATGTGAGACTAGTGTGTGTTGGATGTTTGACTTAGTCTCATAGTCAATGACAGTGTGTTCGCATCCGCACATGGGCAGATACTATATGGGGATAATAGGATGCCGGACTGACCCATCCTAAAGATGTTGCTTGAACTTTTAGTTCATGCTCTAAGCATCTTTAGCGCGATCACGGGTGTATCTATCCTTCGACTTGAAATATTATGTTTTTTGCATATGTGAACCCGCATACTTTGATGCATTGTCCTAAGCCATATGAAATAAGGATGGTATACAGGCTTTGTTTTGGGTATGCCGCAGCGCGTATTCAGAAACGTAGATTACGTACATAGGATTTGTCACTACTCTTTTTAAAAGAGATTAATGTCTTATGGGGCCCACTGATAAGTTATGATTGAGGAAATTGCATGGCCATGCTGAGATGTTTTTATGA